AAGTAGATAGCCAGTCATTTTATAACATGTAAAATTAAACTTTAAAAGATAGTTTAAGTAGTATATATATAATTTCACATATACATATATAGTATTCGAAAAGTTAGCACAGATCGGATTCGGATTTGTGCGATCCAAACCATTGGATTAGGTTTGGCCCCTGAAACGTCGGATTGGGCCTGGATTGAGCAGGATTGGGCCTAATTTTAGGTTATGTCTTTATATAATCACTCTATGTAATAAATTCAAATTTGTTATGTGATAAATTTGAATATCTCTTAATGCGTTAGATAGGTGCAGGCAAATTTGCCTGCAAAAAGTTATATATATATAGACTTAAAAAATTTTTTATAAAACTTTATGTAATATTTCAATATAATGTTCATTAAGGTTTAATACTGTTTTTAAACTATAAATTATAAACATTAATTATACTTTATAAAAATTTAGCATAACTTTAAATTAACCGATTTTTATAAAATAAAATTAAATAATTAAGTTATTAATATTCAAAAAAATTTTAAATATGTTTGAACCTTTAAAATATTACTAAATCTTTATTTTAAGTATTAATCTATATAAAAAAATTATATTTATTCAATATTTATATTTAAAATACATATGTACATATGCATACATGTGCATATATACAATATGTATATATCAGATATATACAACTATAATGCATTTGTATTACTAAGGTATATAATGTATTGTTATTATTTTTCAATATATGTATGATATTTTTCAAAACATGAAGGATGAGATATATTGCAACAAAGTGCAACATTGCATTTTTTGCACCAAATTTGACTTTGTAGCAGATTTTTTTCATTTATATCTTTATCATTTTGTTTTGCATCCTATCTACACCAAACACATGCTACACGGCTTTGGTTTCCTCTCCATTCGGGATAGTGATTTGTACCAGAAAGGTGAATGGCTAGAAGTTTATAATTTTACTTACAATAGAGGCTGGGTTTTTATTTAGTCATTGCTTATTACCTACTTTTCGTTTATTATTTAATGCATCATTTACAAAATCCCATGCTAATTGCAATCTAAACTGCCAATAAGCAAGAGTTTCACCTATTAAAATAAAATTTGGGGCCTTTATCTTAAAAGTAACCTTATAGAACATAGTAATTACTATGTTCTATAAGGTTATTTTCAAGACAAAACCCTTATTTCTAATTAGCATCATAATTATTAATAGTTTAGAATTAAATTAAAATAAGTTATCATTTTTTTGATAAATAATAAATGAATTTACTATTGCAGTATCTATTAACCAAAATAGTAATGGCATCCAGATACGTGAAGCAGCAAGCTGACAATTATAATAAGATCGATATTGGTCAGCAATATCTACTCCATTCATAAAATAGTTATATACTTTATTACTAAAAACTTTTCGCACATTGGCTGCATTTGAATTAGTTTCTCGAGGTCGTCTTCATACACTTAAAACTTTCCACTCATCACCTTTAATGCTATAAATAGTTGAAAGCATATGAACAGGACCATTGTCTATCTAAAAAATTACTAAAACATTATTCACAACAACTCCAGCCAAGGTATCCCAATTTAAACGAATAGATTTTTCAATCTTTAATTCTTTAGGAAACATTGCTGAGTTTATTCGTACTGTGCCACAAGCACCATAACCTTTTGATCGCAAATCATTAAAGAGAAGTATACTTGCAAAATAGTTGTCTATATATATATCATATGTTCGATTATTAGATAATTGTGTGACAAGATACGATACCAGTGATCCAGTTTTGCTAAGACCTAAAATATTTGGAACTTCTTTATTTAATTCAACACGTGATTCAATTGTAAATGTATAAGTATAGCCTTTTTCACACAATGAAATAACTTTAAAACCTTCTGAAATAGGTTTATTTTTCATTCTAAATGTATGTTTACTACATCCAGAAAATCTAATCATCATTTCATCAATTGCAACACGTGAGCCTGGTACATAAATTTGCTTGCTAATATTTCAAATATATGAAGCAAGTAGTTTAACTTTATCAAACCAATAAAGTTTATCAGAATTAATATCTGAAATATGTAAATATCGTTTAATTTGCTGAAAATATATTATTGACATCATTTGAGTAATATCATGTTTAGGGTATATAGGATTAACTGACCAATAATCTGTTGCTCTTGGTAACTTAATAATACCCATATATATAATAATATCTAACCAAATTTTTAACTCATCTAATGTTAAAATTGACCAAGAACATCCAATTATACCAGCATGTTTCAATTCTGCATACTCATTGGTATTTGTTAAAATTGTAGTTAAAATTGTTTGTGAAAAAAATAGCCTAATTAATCCGTATAGAATAATATTGTTATCAGGGAATGCTGGTAGTAATCGAATAAAACCTTGATGAAATGGTACATTATGTTCTAAGTAACTAAAAACAGGTGGTACAGGTAACTGTGCAGATATTTTAGCTTTTTTTTCTAAAGCTATATTTTTTCCTTCTCTACTTTTACGTCCTTTCTCCCTTCCTCTAGCCTTTTCTTTATTAATTTGTTTTTCATTGTCTAGAATAATCGTATTGGTTTTATTAGTTAATTCTTCTATATTAGCATCACTATCATAGTCGTCATCTTCAAAAATCTCATCTAGTAAAGAATCATCTGGTATATGTGAAAAAAATAAAACCTCATAAGGATCCAACAAGTCAGCAGGTAATTCTTCGTTGCTTTGCATTATAACAAACTAAAGAACAATTATTCACTTAAAGCAAGCCTGAATTTAATTTAAATTAATAAATGATTTTTTTTAATTTATTTATTTCTAATTCATTTACAATTTAATCCTTTTATTAAAAATGCCAATTGGCGTATGTATTTTATCATTCTAATTTCAGATATTTATAAATATTTATAATGCGCAAGTCAATTTAAACAGTATTGATTCGCTTTTGAATTGACAAGAACTCTAACTTTTGTTGTAAAATATTAAAATTTTAAAGACATATCATATGGTTTTTTTAAAATTGATTGCCATAGTTAATCTCAAAAATCGCTTTTGAAAAGTTTAAAACAAACAACCCCGTTTGTAAAACAATAGTGTAAGAATAATACTATTTTAAAAAAAAGGCACTAAACTTTATTTAAATAATTTATAATTATTTTTTAGGTTCGATCAACGTAATGTGTGATACAGTAATGCGCGATAGGCATAAATTTGAGTTAGTGTTAATCACCAGTAACATGATTTATACAATTGATATTTTGCTACAATGTTAATGAAGTCTAACCAGATTAAATAAGATATCTTTTAGGGGGACCTCTCTTATCTTATTTTTTATCAATTACATTAAAATTAGATTTTGCAGGCAAATTTGCCTGCATGACGTATTAAGAGATATCACACCTTGTGTCACAATATAAGTGATAAATTCACATTTGTTACATGATAAATTCAAATTTATCACTTATATTGTGACAAATATATGTGACAAACCGTCGGATTAGCACAGATCACTCCCGGATTCAATCTGAATTACGGATTCGGATCGGATTCGGATCAATCCCAGATCAACTGGGATTTTTAATCTGTTTTCGAACACTATACATGTACGTATATACATATGTATGTACAAGTACTGGTAACTGCATGGTGCTCTTCCAAATAAACTGGGATTGGGAATTACTAAACCTGTTTAATAACAATAGTAACAAAAAAAATAGGCAGATTAAGCTACTTTCGCATTGATAAAAGGTAAAAAATAATAAAAATTAAAAAAATGAATGAATC